GGAATGGCTGGTGGACAGAATGCAGGCTTTGGAAACAGTTGACTTGGGCCAAATCCTACCTGTTGAGCTTTTGTCTGCTTTGCTAATAATAACAACCAAAGCAACCATGGAGTACAGGAGCAAATGTGGGCAACACACAGGGCTCAATTCCCAGTGTTGTCAAAAGCCATACAGTCTTCGAGACAGCATGGGATCCACCAAGGGGACATAGAGATCCTCAGTATGGAGCAGAAAACACTGGATAGGCCAAAGGGACAAATAAACCTGAGACAAAAGTAGAGTCCAGAAGACTTGTAAATGTGGAGCCAGTTGGTTTTTTTACAAAGGGAAGGGAAAGTCTTCCTCACAGATGTTCCAGGTGAGTGTGCAGTGAGCACTCTGCCCACGTACAAGGATTAATCTATTCCCAGATTAATGGATTATCATGGGACTGATGGTTTTTTAAGAAAAGGAATAGATGACAGCTCCTGTAGCTCAGTGGGTAGGGCGATGGCCACATACACACAGGCTGGCAGGTTTGAACCCGGTCCGGGGCCTGCTAAAACAATGACAACTGTTAACAAAAAAAAAAATAGCCAGGCGTTATGGCGAGAACCTGTAGTCTCAGCTACTTAGGAGGCTGAGGCAAGAGAATCACTTAAGACCAAGAGACTGTGGTTGCTGTGAACTGTGACACTATGGCACTCCACCTAGGGTGACAGCTTGAGACTCTTGTCTCAAAAAAAAAAAGAAAGAAAGAAAGAAAGAAAAAGAGGATTAGAGACCTGAACTAGCATACTCAGCCCCTTCCCATGTGATATCCTATGCCCTGGCCCAGAGAGCAAGGGTCTGGCAGTAGTTTCAGAAGGGTAGGGTGCAAATTTGGGTTCTAAGCCCAACTGCCACCTCCTGCTGAGTGGCTGTGGCAAGTGGCTTATCCTCCCAAGCTATAAGGGCACAGATGCCCATGGTGGTCTATTTTTCTGGGATCCCCTCATTCCTAGAGGCAGGAATAGTAGTAAGGAGGACCAGTGTTAGACTGATGGAGGCCCCAGTGCTGGCTCTGCTCCTGGCTGTGGTTAGGCAACATTTATGAGATTCCTGAGTTGTGGGGTATACCACATGGGATTGGGGAAGCTCCTAAGATCAACCCTGACTCCTCCCAAAGCCTCCAAAGCCCTGCATGCAGGGCCTGACCTCACTAAATGCCCACCCTCTTCAATCTTAGACATACCAGGATCAATTGTGCCACTGCCCAGACATAGGTAGACCTCATGGTGGCTGAAGTCTCCAGGCGCACAGCATCCCGAGAAAGTGAGAGGCCTTCCTGGTCCCCCAGCCACAGGTCCTCACGGGCCCCCACAACCTCCTCATGTTCTATCTGTCTCTTGAGCGACCCTGCCTCTGCAGCATGTCCATTAAAGTGTGATTCCATAGAATCTATGTGGCAGTCTTAAGTTAGAGCCCATCAGGGTCATGGACTTCAGGAAGAGACAGAGGTCCAATCGGCAAAATTCTAGGGTCACAGGTAGAGCCAGGTATGAACTCCTATGAAGTTCAGTAAAGTCACGACTCTGGACCTGGTTCTACCTGCTATATTACCTCACTTTTCCAGGCCTCAGTTTCCTACTCCGTAAAGCAGGGCTATTGAATCCAGAGAGGAAATCCCTAGCTATACCCTAGCTTAGCCATGTCCACGGTACTGTGTGACTCTGGGTACCTCATAGGCCATTTCTGGCCCAGCAACCCCAAGTGGCGACAGAAGAAGGCTCAGGACCCAACAAAGTGCAGGGGGAGGCTTTATTTCACGGTGTTGGGGGGTGGCCTGGACAGGGGGCAGCAGGTGGGGCAGGAGGGCTGGCACTCAGTAGGGGAGAAGGCAGGGGAAGGACTACCCCCGGTCTGTCAAGAAGAGAAAACTGAGGCCACCCTGGTTGAGATCTCAACGAGGGGAGTGGAGACTGTGGGGGGAGAATAGGGTCTGGAGAAATGAGGGCCCCCTCCCTCCAGGCTGGATGTGGGGCCCTGGACACACCTGGCTTTCCTCTTACAAGGTCTCAATGCCTCCTGCTCACTGGGCTGCATGGCCCCCCAATCCTTATTGCCCCCAACCAGAAGGAGGGGGCTAGGCCAGGGAGGGCAGAGGGCAGGGAGCCTGGGAAAGTTAGGGAGTGCAGGGTGGGGTCCATGGTTCATGGTGCACAAAGGGGGTGTGCAGCCACCTGGGCAGTCAGTTTCTGGCAGCAATGACTACAGAGAGAGCCACGCCCCCCAGGGCAACAGCAGTCGCCCCAAATAGCCACTTCCATGGAATAGACTGTGGACAAAGGAGAGGGAAAAGATGGCTAGAGGGCAGTTAAGACTGGCCTCTGGGGACTCAGCTGCCAACTCAGCCAAACAGGCCTCCCAGCAAATCACTGCCTGACGATGTTTTTTCTGCTCATACAGTAAAACCCAAATCAAACATTTCCCACTTCAGGATACTTCCCCTTCTGCCCTGGAAGAGCCTCCATTCCCCACCTTCAGCCCTCCAGGTTGACTTCCACCTCCTGCCCTGGCCCTGGCCACACAAGGCTGTGGCTTTTCTGTGTCCCCATTATTGCTCATCATAGCCCAATTGCCAAGGACACCCATGTTTACAGAATGAATAAAATATCTCTGCTAGGCATGTTCTGCCTATAGCTCCTGCCTGCTCTTCTAGGAGTCCCCCGACACCTCTGGCCCCAGCTCACCCAAGGACCCTTGCCAGGACACTTGGCAGGCAGTCGGCTGGGGTTGCCCAGCATTTTCCGGTACAGGGCAGTCTCGGTGCTCCTCTGTGCCGCGTGCTTCTTCACCAACTTTGAAAGCTCCGCATGGATCGTCTGCAAGAAGTGGGTGTGAATTGGGCTGAAGAGTACATGGCAGCCAACCTGACTGTCACTGTTAGTGCTCTGCCCTTCTGGGACCCCAGTTCCCCTGGGTGCTGAGACTGCTGAAACATGGGGATTCTGCCTACTCCTTGATGGGCTTCAGGACAATGGATGCTGTTGACCCCATCCCCCTAGGGAGCAAGTAGATGGGGCAGAGTACACGATGGCCAGGAAAGAGGAAAATTCAGGGAGGAAGGTGGAGGACATTGGCATAGATTAACCAATATGGCATTACCCTTGGAAGGTTGAGCCCAGACTGACTTGGTGGCAGTCATGAGTGTCTTAGCAAGCTGGGCTAAAGCCCTTCAGCTGCCCACCCTCTTCTGCTACCCACGTGGGAACACTACAAAAAGCCATAGCAAGAAAGACCTAAGGCAATAGCCAGGCACTATGACCAGGGCCTGGAATCCCAGCTACTCCGAGGCTGAGGCAAGAGAATCACTTAAGCCCAAGGGTTTGATGTTGCTATGAGCTGTAACACCACAGCACTCTACCAAGGGCAAAAAACTGAGATCTCAAAAAAAGAAAAAGACCTAGGGCAGACCACAAGAGGGACTTCCCAGACAGCCCAGCAAGGCAAGTCCCCAGGGTTCTGCCCCCATACTGCTCACCTTATTGGAAGGTTCCAGCTTCAGGGCTGCTCTCAAGATAGGGATGGCCTCACTGTACTCGCCTTGCTGAGCTAGCACCTGGTGGGGAAAGGGGGTGGCATACATTGGACCCACACTGGGCCTCATTCTCCTTCAAGAGAAGGAGCCCTGCCCCGCTTCTGGCCCCTAACACAAGCCCCAAATCTATCTCCAGCAATAGCCCCAGGTTCCAACCACCCCCCAACACTGTTCCCAAGCCCTCAGACTCCATTGAGTGCCATGCCTGGCTTAGCATCATCCCCTCAACATGCTCCTTCCCTGTGTATCTGTCTCACCCTGAGCCAGAGATCCAGGTACCTGCCTTACTGTCTCCTCCCCTCACTACCTCAGCTGCCTAGACAGGCCAAATGGACATTTCCAAAACTTTGGTCACAGTGAGTGATTCAGGGCCAGGAATGTGACCCAAGTCAGTCATGAGAACCAGCCTAGATTATGCCGCTGCCACTGGAAGAGCTGTTGCTGAGGGGGGAAATAGACAGCTGGAGCTTTCAGAGAGCTGGGGGTAGAGGAAGGGGCCATTTGAGTCACCCTAAGGGAAGCACCTGCTTGAAGAGGGAAGGCTACAGCAGTGGTCACAACCTAGGACATTGTGAATACCTGGATTCAGCCATGCCTGAATTCTCTGGGCTTGGCCTAGCCCCATGAGCCATCAGTCTTTCTTTTTTTGCGTGAACCTGTATGGGCAGATTTCTGGCACCTTTAACCAGCAGGTCCAAACTTGTATGAGGCTACTCTAGCAACTACTCCTGCTACTCCCAGGAGGATACTGCCCCCCCCACCCCCCGAGGATTACAAAGGCTTTGAAAAAAGGAGTGGCATCTTCTTCCTCCCATTTCTCTGCAGAACTCTGCACACAACTGGAACTTAATAAATGCTGACTGGAGGGAATAAATGCTCAGGCCTCTCACAAACATGCCAGGTGACCCAGCATTTATGTCTCAGTTTCCTTGGTTTACTGCTAAAAGATGCTGAAAGGCTACCCCTACCCCACGGATGCTATGAGGACAAATAGAAATGGGGGTAAAAACAATTAACAAGTTTGTGCAGCTGCATTCACCTTATATTCCCTCAAGACTTTTACTGAGTACCTACTGTGAGCTTGGCCCTGTTTGTTTATAGGATTGGAGATTAAACAGTGAAGAAGATGGACCAAACCCATACCTTCTAGAAGGGACAAGAAGCATGTCACCTCTAATGCTACCTGAAATGGTGACTCAGGAAATGAATGCAGGGGGAGGAGAGGGCAGGAAGAGCCTCTAAAGGAAGTGACACCAGAGCAAAGACCTCAACCAGGCCAGGGAGGGACCAGCAAGGATACCTAGGGTATGAACACCTCAGGTAGAGCGCACAGACCGTGTAAAGGCCCTGAGGTGGGAACAGACCAGGCACGTGCAGCAAGCAGGGAGGGTGCTGGGTAGGGTGGAGAGAAGCTAGAGATGAGATGAGAAAGGTATGGGACAACCAGATGGCTTAGAGTCTGAAAGGCCATGACTAGGACTCAACTTTTACTCTGAGGAAATTAGAAGCCATGCAGGGTTATGTTCAAGAAGCATTCGCTACTGTGCCAGAGGTGGGGACCTAAGACTCAGGATTTGGATCTGGATCTGGCCTTAGCCTATGAATTGCTGTGATCCAGGCTACTCTCTTACACCTGCCTGGGCCTTAGTTTCTCCACCTATACCCCAGAGAGCTTAGCTGCTTAATGCTTGTGACTTTCTCATACCCAACGTTGGGGATCAGCCTGTGTGGCCCACCTTGCCCTTGCGGAACAGTGCCTTGATATTGTCGGGCTGGTGCTCCAGCACTTGGCTACAGGAACGCAAGGCTGCACGGTAGTGGTCCAGCTTTAGCTGTGAGGCCGCCAGGTTGTTCAGACACTTCACTTTCAGCTGTAGGAGCTGTTCTTCCTCCTCAAACGTCATGTCCACTGCAGGGTTAGCAATACTCAGCTACAGTAGCCATTACGACACACCAGCACCCTCCCCCCCAACCTACCCTCTGCAGAGGGCTGCCTTCTACCCTGGGGTACCTCAGGCTTCTCTGGCCTCAGATTCCCTATCTCTAACAGGACCAAGGGCTGCACCTTTCCTAAGGCATCCATGACGGGAGGTCTACAAAATGGAGCTTTAAGGAAACAAGGGCCTAACCCAGGGGTACATGGACTGACAGTCCAGTCATTTACCTGTGTTTCCTAACATTCCACTGGGCTGAGATATACCACGAGTATGCAGCAGATAATTGGGTGGGTATCTACCTAATATCTGAACTATTCTAAAATGTTCTGAGTCTGAGGACCCCTGTGGCTTGAGGTTCCTGACACTAAGCATGGATGCTTTTGTCAGGGAGGTGGCAAGACTCTGACCGAGTGGTCACCTTTGGCGCTAGAGGTGATGGCCTTGATGGCCAAGTCATATGAATTGGCAGCCAGCACAAAGTCGGCCCGCTGGTAGTGGGCATTGCCACACTCTCGCTTCCGGTTAGCCAGGGCCACACGCTCCTGCCCTGTGAGCAATTCCAGGTCTGGCCCATCCACAGCGGTCTTCAGGGACACTTCCAGGCACAGGGCTGCGTGTGGGGGGATATATGGGCTCCTGCTGGTGGAGGAGAGGCAGCACTCAGACCTGGTGGCCCCCATTCCCCACCCGACCCCAGACCCGCTGTGTTAGCTCAGGAGCAGGTGAGAAAGGGCTCCAGGCCTGGATCTGTTCCCACCGCCACTCCCTTCTCAGTAAAATGCCACCCTGAAGCTATGTAACTTGATGAGTTCCTCTCCCAGAATCTGTTTCTTCTCCTATAAAATGGGCAGGTGGATGGGGTTAGCCAAAAGGGATGCCCACCCTGCCCACCCCCTCACCCCTGCTGGGACACCGCGGGCGACCGACTCTCACCAGCCCTGGGGGCCGTAGCAGTACTTGGAGTCAGCAGTGACCATGGCCGTCTCCCCCACGTCCATGAGTGGGACACTGAGATCCAGGGCCTGGGGTGCACAGGGACAGCCAGGGATCAGGTAGGCCTAGTGAGGTGCCCACCCCATCCCCTTCTTCCCCTGCCCCAGTCCCCACCTGGATGACGTCGCAGTCGCCCAGGGTAAACATCAGCTCTGGCTCATCCTGCACTCTCGTGCCATTTTCCAACGATGTCTGTAGCTGCACCGTGACTACCTGGCCCTTAGTAGGGCGGCTTGAGCCAGGTGGCCCTGGGACAAGCGTCTTCTTCCTCAACAGCCCATTCCCTGCCCAGGGCCAGGAACATACAGCATGTCACCAGCAGCTCAGATAGGCACCTGCTCTCGTGAGCACTACGTCACCCTGATCCCTGCCCATACATCATCCCAGAAGGGAACAGCCTAAAACTAGGACACAAAGTAAATGTCCAATGTCCCCTCTGCCATCAAATGGGCAGGAGATCCCATACTACCAGACACTGGGCATGAAAAGAACAATTTCGGGTGACAGTCATGGCCCTCGGGACCGGTACAGTAAACAATGGCTGGTCTGGTTATTTTAAGAAAACTGAGGCTGGCTCCAGCACTCGCAGCTCAGTGAATAGGGTGCTGGCCACATACACCAAAACTGGTCGGTTCGAACCCATCCCAGGCCTGCTAAACAATGACAACTGCAACCAAAAAATAGCCAGGCATTGTGGCAGGCGCCTGTAGTCCCAGCTACTTGGGAGGCTGAGGCAAGAGAATTGCTTAAGCCCAAGAGTTTGAGGTTGCTGTGAGCTGTGACACCATGGCATTCTACCATGGGCAATATACTCTGTCTCAAAAAAAAAAAAAACAAAAAACACCTGAGGCTCTTAGGCCACCGCATAGTGGCTCATGCCTATAATCCAGGCAGAAGGATCTTGTAAGTTCAAGAAGTTCAAGACCAACCTAAACAACAGTGAGACCCCTGCCTCTACTAAAAACAGAAGAAAAGTAAAGAAGAGGAAAAAAAAGAAAAGAAAAGGAGGCTGTCAAGAGGCAGAAAGATCACAAATTCAAGCCCAAGCTGGGCAAAAGAGAAAGAACCTCATCGCAGGCCAGGCACAGTAGCTCACTCCTATAATCCTAGCACTCTGGGAGACCGAGGCAGGTGGACTGCCTGAACTCAGGAGTTCAAGACCAGCGAAACCTGATCTCTTAAAAATAGCCAGGTATTGTGGCAGATGCCCATAGTCCCAGCTACTTGGGGAGGCTGAGGCAAGAGAATCACTTGAGCCCAAAAGTTTGAGGTTGCTATGAGCTATGATGCCACAGCACTCTACCGAGGGTGACAAAGTGAGACTCTGTCTCAAAAAAAAAAAAAAAAAATCCCAAACCAGAGAAACCCTGGAGGCTCAAAGAGGGCAAATCCATGGGCTCAAATCCTAGCCTCCCAGCCCCTAGGCCATTTGCATCTCTGTTTACTTAGCCATAAAGTGGGATGATCATAGGACCTCCTAGTGGCACCCTGTAAGCATCTGCTTGGGTTAGTAGCGTACCTGTGACACCGTATGTCTCTACCAAAGCACTATGTGCACTGAAAAGGCGAACAGAGCTAAATGGCTTATAAGCAAGAGCAACCCACAATACCCTAAGAGACCATTGTCTATTCCCTTAGCCACTCCGGATGGTATCCCTCTTGCATCACAATTTATCACAGGAATGGTTAAATGGTCACAGCCAATAGTGACTGAATACCAGGTAGAAGGACCAGCATCCTCACAAATACACTCAGGGAATTCTACAGCAACATCATCCATTGTCATTCCACAGCTACTGTTGGGGTGATTGCTGCTAGTACCCCATTTACCAAAGCAGGAAACGGAGGAACAGAGAGAACAGGCGAACTGGCCCAGAACACACAGCCTCACCTTCCTCAGGGTGCTCCTGAGGTGTCAACAAAAGGGAGTCTTAGCCAAGTGAAAGCTAAACCTGTAGGACATGTCAGTCTGATATGGTCTATGATCACTCATGTTCCCACATTTACCTGTGTTCTACTTCCATGCTATTGGTCTACTCCACAACTGAGTGAACTCTGGCCTAAAGGTTAGGGACAGTTAATGTGACCATCCATATTCTGGAATATTTTAGAATATTCCAATTTCTGTGCTGCTCCCCACCACTAAAGGTGGATATGCTGGTAGGGGTAGGGTCACAGGTCCTGGCTCCAATTCTGACCACACAAAGCAGCTGGCACAAATATAAAGGGAGAAGGCCAGCCGTGGTGGCTTACACCTATAATCCCAGCACTCTGGGAAGCCAAAGTGGGGAAGATCACTTGAGGGCAGGTGGTGGCTTACACCTATAATCCCAGCACTCTGGGAAGCCAAAGTGGGGAAGATCACTTGAGGGCAGGAGTTCAAGACCAGCTAGGCACCACAGTGAGACCCTGTCTCTACAAAAACAGAAAAATCAGCCAGGTATTGTGGTGGGCACCGATAGTCCTAGCTACTTGGGAAGCTGAGGCAAGAGGATGGCTTGAGCCCAAGAGCTTGAAGTTGCTGTGAACTATAATGACGCCATGGCCCTCTACTCAGGGTAACAAAGTCTCAAAAATAAATAAATATATAAATAAAAATTAAAAAAAGAAAAAAGGCTTGGCACCTATGGCTCAAGTGGCTAAGGCACTAGCCACATACACCTAAGGTAGCGGGTTCAAATCCAGCCTGGGCCTGCCAAACAGCAATGACGGCAGAAATCAAAAAAAAAATAGCCAGGCGTTGTGGTGGGTGCCTGTGGTCCCAGCTACTTGGGAGGCTGAGGCAGGAGACTCACTTGAGCCCAGGAGTTGAAGGTTGTTGTGAGCTGTGATGCTATAGCACTCTACCCAGGGGGACAGCTTGAGGCTCTGTCTCAAAAGAAAAGAAAGAAAGAAAGAAAGAAAGAAAAGAAAGAAAAGAAAGAAAGAAAAAATATATATATACAAAGACATAAAAACATAGTGCTGAGCGCCAGCCCCATATACCGAGGGTGGTGGGTTCAAACCCAGCCCCAGCCAAACTGCAACAAAAAAAACAGCCGGGCGTTGTGGCAGGTGCCTGTAGTCCCAGCTACTTGGGAGGCTGAGGCAAGAGAATCACCTAAGCCCAAGAGCTGGAGGTTGCTGTGAGCTGTGATGCCACAGCACTCTACTGAGGGTGACAAAGTGAAACTCTCTTGTCTCTAAAAAAAAAAAAAATAGTGCCAACTTTATGCTCAGAAAGTAGCTGGGCAGCTCTCACTCTTAGCATCAGTAAGAAAGAACATCTTCCCAAACTCTAATATACCTAGAGAGGCTGTATGACCTGAGGCAAGTGCCTTCTCCTCTCTGAGCCACAGTTTCCTCATCTGTAAAATGGAGATATAAAAGAAACCATATCACAGGGTTTTTGTAAGGATAAATTAAGATGATGCACAGTCCAAGCATAGAAACAATGCTCAGGAAGGATTACCTGATACTATTTTTAGAGGTAAAAAGTTTAGAGGGTTTTTTTTTTTTTGAGACAGAGTCTTACTCTGTTGCTCTAGGCTAGAGTGCCAGTCAGCCCAACTCACAGCAACCTTGAACTCCTGGGTTTAAGTGATCCTCCTGCCTCAGCTTCCTAAGCAGCTGGGACTATAGGTGCCCAGCATCACCCCCAGCTAATTTTTCTATTTTTAGTAGACAAGGGGTCTCATTCTTACTCAAGCTGGTCTTGAACTCCTGAGCTCAAGGAATCCTCCTGCCTCAGCCTCCTAGACTGCTAGGATTACAGGCATGATCCACCTTTCCCAGCCATAGAAACAGTAACATTTGGGGCTGGGGGGGTTGAGACAAAGCCTTACTCTGTCACACTGAGTAGAGGGCCCTGGCAACATCATAGGTCATAGCAACCTCAAACTCTTAGGCTCAAGCAATCCTCTTGTCTCAGCCTCCCTACTAGCTGAGACTACAGGAACCTGCCACGACACCAGCTAGTTTTTCTATTTTTAGTAGAGATGGGGTCTTACTCTTGTTCAGGCTGGTCTTGAATTCCTGAGCTCAAGTGATCCACCCACTTCAGCCTCCCTTTCCCAGAGCGGTAGGATTACAGGTGTGAGCCACCGTGCCAGGTCACAGAAGCAGTAAGATTTTTTTTTGAGATAAAGTGTTATTATGTTGCCCCTCAGTAGAGTGCCATGGCATCACAGCTCACAGCAACCTCAAACTCTTGGGCTCAAGCGATTCTCTTGCCTCAGACTCCCAAGTAGCTATAGGTACCCTCCCAAGTATAGGCACCTGCTACAATGCCTGGCAATTTTTTTTTTTAAACTGTAGTTGTCATTGTTGTTTAGCAGACCCAGGCCAAGCTCGAACCTGCCACTACGGGTGCCACCAGAAGCAGTAAGATTTTTATTAGCAGTGGGGGTGATATTAGAAGTAACACCTGTCACCATTCTTTTGATACTATTGGTAGAGTATAATCAGTACTATTGATCACGGTAATGATGTTTTATTATCATGTGTGTGGGCACCAGCATTTAATGGTATATTAGGTATCAACACTTACTAGTGGCAACATGTTTTCCACAGAATACTAATAGTTTGTTCTGAAAGTTGGGTGGGATACGCAGGGGTGGCCACATGGATGGGTTCACCTAGTTTCTTTCTTGTGTAACTTCTCTGAGCATTTATAACACTAATGAATACTGTGAACTAGCCTGAGGGCTAAACAAAATAGATCTATGTGACCATAGGGCATATTTTTCCAGAGATGAATCCATTGCAGACAAATGCTAAGAAAAAATAAAGTGGGGAGTTGGGTGCTGCTGGTGCCTGGCATGCTGGCTACTTGGCTCTGAGCAGGTGACTCAGCCTCTCTGTGGCACTGTTAACAGCTCTGAGAAACAGGGACATAGCACACTGTGAGTGCATGTAAAAATGAACAAGATTTGTAAACACCAAGTGTCTCAAGCAGTTTGGCTGTTGCTGATGATCACTGTGGTTACCACATGTTACTTCCAACCCTCACAGCAGAGATAGGGAAATGAGGCTCAGAGTACAAGAGGGTGAGAGCCAAGGTCACTTCTGAACCTCTGGACCCTCTGGGTCAACCCAATCCACCCTTGCTCCTTACCCAGGATGTCCAGCCACTCTTCTGGGGCCGGGGCTGGGGCAGGCTCGGGCTCCATGGCAGCTAGGAACTCTCGGGCCAGGGCCCCAGGCTGCTGCTCTTCTTTCTCTGGTGAGGGCTGCCCCATGTCCTCAAGAGGTGGCAACTCACTCAGGTCATCCTCTTCCTCCTCCTCTTCTTCTTGGCCTTCTGCATCCTCGACCCCATCCAGCACCTCAAAGTCTTCAAGTGGTGGAACCCCAGCAGGTGGTGGGGCAGTGGGTTCAGAGGGCTCCGCACAGGACGCCATGCTGCTGGGGGCACGGGAATAGGCCCTGGGAAGTGGGATGGATGGGAGTAAGAATCCCACCCAGCCACTCAAACTCTCCTCTGTACCCCTTCCCCACACTGCAGATCACTTGCTGTGTGACTCAGGTGCTTCAGGCCTTGGTTTTCTCCTGTATAAAACATAACAACAGTCCCAGCTTGTTTGGCAAATTAACCCACGCATTAAGCCCTGGGCATCAGGCTCAAATAGTGTTACCTATTATTAGAGCTAATTATTATTTAATGCTTATAAACACTCCACGAAGTAGGAAATATTCCCTCTGCAGAACAGGAAGTTAAGGCTAGAGAGGCAAATCCATTTGCCCAAGGTCACAAGACAATGGCAAAGTTAGGATTTGAACATAAGGCTCCAGACTCTGGGGCTTGCTTTACCTGATTAACTAACAAGACAGGGTGCTAGGAATTTTTTGGAGGGAATAGCCCCTAAGGGCCAGGGGAAGCCATTTTTAGAGCCACTAGGCCACTTGGGCAATTTAATCTTTACCAGGGCATCCCATTTTGTAGCTGCTCCTTCTCTGAACGGGAGCCCTCTCCCAACAGCACCAGCCCTAATCATCCAAAATCCAAAGCCTTTTTACCTTCCATACACTGAATCTAATACCATTCTCCCAGCTCAGTATCAGGGACCCTGGCTCAAACCATTCCCTGGGAACCCTTCCTCTCATGATCTCCTTCCCATCTGTCAAAGCAGCCTCCTTCACAGGAGTGGTCGAAATCTTACCAATTCTACCTCTTCCTTGTCCCAAGCCTGTTGGGAGCCTCTAGCCCATCCTGTACCATCACGTAGGGAACCCATCTCCCCAGCTCAGAAGACGGAGAACCATCCCTCTAACCCACAGCATCCCAGCCCTAACCTTCACCTGCCTGGTAATTCAGGGCTCAGAGGCCCCATTTTCAGAGACCCTCCCAGCCCCCAGCCCACAATCCCCCGCGCCCACACAAATCCGCCTCCTTCCCGCCCCCCATCCCAACCACCACCGCCCCCATCCTGGGCTACCCCCACCCCCCGCAGCCATTTCGTCGCCCAGTAAACAATCTTATGTCCCCAGACGCCCCCGCCAATCCTACTCCCTCCGGATGGCACCCGGCTAGGCCTGGCCGTCGGTCAACCCCCCACCCAGGTCCCCAACGCTCCACACTTGTCTGACGCCACCAGTCTGGGGCCCCCGACCCCCGCACCTCTCGGGCGCCCCTGGCCCTACACGTCTCTGTGGGAAATCCCCCACCAGATCTCCTACGCCCCCGTGATCCCCAACCCCAGCTGCCCCCGCCCAGTCGCACATCCTCGGGCACCCCTCGACCCCTCGAGCCCCCCGCTCGCCTCCTCCGCGGCCCCTCGCCCCGCCCATCGGCCGCAGCCGCCACTGCGCCGGCTCCCGGACCGACCCAGGCCAGGGCATCGCCCTCAGCCAGCGCGACCCCCACGGCGCCCTAGGACACGTGCCTCAGGCTCCGGGACCCCAACCTGGGGTCCTGCGCCCCCCCTCCCCGCCCCCAGCCGCGGCCGCCTCGCCTCGGGAACCAGGTTCGGACGCCCAGCCCCGCCTTCGCCGTGCACATTGGCAGCCGCCGCCGGGCCTGCCACGCCCATTGGCTCACGCAAACGTCCGTCCTGGGCGCTAACACCGCCCCCTTCCTGCTTGGTTTGGTGAGACGTTCTTAAAGGGGCAGAAGCTTCCTGGCCACTTAGGGTGGGGGCTCTAGGCTGGACAGCAAACACAGGTCAGTGCAGCGCAACTTGCGCGATCCCCGGCTCCCGTCTGAGCTTGATCCTGCTAGTCTGCGAAATGGGGATAAATACCCCCATTCTTGCATTCTCACCTTGGAGGCTGTTGGGAAGACAGCACTTAATGGTGTTTCCTTGAGCTCACGCTTGCCGCTGAGGGTAGCTCCGGGATTGGTAGATAACTCACTGTGAAGCCCCAGTTACAGAATTAGACCCAAGGTCCTGAGGGTGAGCGAACTGCCCAGGGACACATGAAAACCTAACCCCAGCCCCACCCCTGCGTGGTCTAATTCCCAGAAGGAATGCCTGGAGCATACAGGAGATGCTTAATAACAGCTAGGTTGGCGACTGGGCAAGCGGGACCACTGGGAGGAGTTCCTCCTCCATGCACCCTCTGCCACAGGGTGATAAGGTTCCCACAGCCCCGAGGAAGAAAGTGGCATCCTCAATTAGATTGGATTTTATAGATTTTGTTTTAAAACTGGGGACACTTACTCCTCTGTCAATCTGTTTTCTTTCCCAGCAGTAACTCCCTTCCAGAATGATCTTATTCTTTTGCTTCCGGGTCCCCCCACCCCCCCACCCCCACTCTGCTGCATCCTCACAGGATTTTTTGCCTGTTTTGTACTCAGCACCTCCTTGAACCATGCCTGACATCCTTAGGAGCTCAAGAAATGAATAGATGAACAAATCATACACTGGCTTTTGCAGGTAACTAACTTTTCAGGTAGGATTTCCCATGTTGCCTACTACAGAAGCCCTCCCAGACCTCCCCAAAGCAAAACTAGGTGCCCCATTTGGCTGTTCCTCCTGGCAGATGAACCTTCACTTCATAACTCATTTATTTGGAGCTGTGCCATCATTCAATTTACTTTTGCCTCACCCTCTAGACTGGAAGACCCCCAAATCTGGTAAGGCTTTCTTGTTTCTCATTGGCCTATCCCTAAAAGTCTGCATACTCCAAGGCACAAAATAGAGTAGGGAGCAGGGTGGATGGACTCAGGCAAATCACTGTGAAAGGAAAGAAGCCAGGCTGGCCAGGCAGCAGAGGTAGTGTGACAGCAAGGGCATGTGACAAATCACCTGGGAATGGGCATTAAATAAACTGTGGGCCAGTCAAAATTCTGAGGGACCTGGACTATTCCCCATTCATCTCTGAACCCCAGTGTTTTTATATGCACAGTGAGGTTACTTGCCCATCCATTCACATCTCTGTTGTAGGGCTAGAGGAACTGTAATAAACAATAGTAGTAAAATAAACAAGCAATAAATAACTAAAATAACACCACCAACAATAATAATAATGGCTGGCACTCAATCAGCAGGTATTACACATGCAGGCAAACTTTTTTTTTTTTTGAGACAGAGCCTCAAGCTCTACCCCCTAGGTAGAGTGCCGTGGCATCACAGCTCACAGCAACCTCCAACTCCTGGGCTCAAGTGAGTCTCCTGCCTCAGCCTCCCGAGTAGCTGGGACCACAGGCGCCTGCCACAAAGCCTGGCTACTTTTTTTTTTGGTTGCAGCCATCACTGTTGTTTT